AGAGTTTCATTCTTAAGTTCTACTTTCAAACACATGCATATTCCATAGCCATTAATAAAATACAAATTAATTTTTTAAGTATGAGGGATAACTTATTAGAAAGAGAACACAATTATTAGAAAGCAAAAACAGTGTAACCAGATGAGAAATTAACTATGTAAAGAATAAATTTATGGCACGGTACCGACCTTTCAATTAACTGTGTGCAAAGCCATATCCTAAGTAGTAAGAAATCTGGACTGTGAATCCAGAATCTGGTAGAATAAAATCTGGTGACCTCGAGCTTTGCTTAGTGTTTCCTCACTGGTTAAGTTCAAGTCCCAGCCCTATTATTTAATACCTGTGTGATCTTGGACAAGTTACTTAACCTCTCTGAATCTCAATTGCCTTGTCCGTAAAAATCTCAATACCTTGTACTTCAATGAGGATCAAATGAGAAAACAGATGTGAAAGCATGCTGTATTCTAGAAAGTCCCTGTACATTTAAAGTATTATCACTATATTTCTTATAAAAGCTTGACCAGCAGAACACATCATACCATGAACATAAGAACAGCTCAAAGCATGATTCAGGGCACAGAGGAATTTGGATTTTGGAGTATCTTGCTCAGGAAGGAATTCACCCCTCTTAACACTATTTATATAAAGCAAAAGCCCCCTCAGAGTTCTGGGTTCCTGGCTTGCACACAATTTTAATCAATTCTCATGGCTCGTTTCTTAGCTTAAAATACCATCAGACTTGAAGACTATCTTCCATTTCTGGATTCTTAAGTTGGATCGGGCTCAGGAGTGGGGGGAAGGACACACCCATACTCAGAGCGGAAATGCCCAAATCCAAAATAAACAAAACCACACAAAAATGCCGTCTGTAAAGCCTTTATGTTGGGATCATGCACCAGGGTGAGGCTCCTGGGAGGTCCTGAGCCCATTTCGGGTGATCCGTTCTGCAGAAGGCCCGTCTGAAGGCAGGTCTGATGCTACCTGGTACTGAGGGGCAGGCAGCCCCAGTGTTGCTTCCGTCCATGTCAACATAAGGCAGTATCATCTGCCCCACCGCCTCCACCTCCTCACGTCAGCGGGCCTTTCTGCGGTGAGTGTACAACACACACTGGGATGGCCTCCACTCTGCTGAGACAGAGAGCTCATCCCCTGGACGTGAGCATTTGTTGGTGAGAATTGGTTAGCTTTTATTTCAGATGGCGTCCACACCGAGTATCACTGTGCCCATCTCCCAGGAGATGGTGGCCCCTGGAAGGCCGGTACCCCAGCATGTTGATGTTTGTCACTCTATCCCCACCATGGTATACAGTAGGCCCTCAATAATTGTTCACATCGGTGAACTGAAATCTGCCTGCAACCTCATTTGCATTTTCCTGGTAAGACACGAAAGGGCCTTAGGCATCCATGTGTTTGGTCTTCACTAAAGCATCCATTCTTTCATTCATTCATTCAACACTGAGTGACTTCCCCATGTGTCAGGCATTGTGCAGCACAAAGTGACTCGGTGACAAATGCTCTCAGCAGAAGTTTGTACAAAGGGCAACAGAAGCAGAGAGGCAGGTTAGTCCTTAGCTATGCTTTTGGGAGACGGCAGGGATGGCAAAGGCTTCCTAGAAGAAATGGGGTTTCTGCCAGGCCTCTAAGGATGAGCAGGAAGTCCGTGAGCAGAAAAAAGGAAGAGCAGCAGCATCCTGAATGGGAACAGCACAAACAGAGGAGGAGAGAGGCCAGAATTGCATCTGTCATTTTGTTGCTTGGGGCTAGATTTTTAGGGTGGGGAAGGGTGGATGAGGCCAGAAACCGGGCTGAGGCAGTGCAAGAAAGGCCTGAATGCCATGCTGAGAATGGGTTCACTTAACCTAAGGCGAACAAAGACCCATCACAGATTTTTGGGCAAGAGCATGTCATGATGTGTTTTTACCAAGACTGCTTATCTTATGTTAATTTGTAGATTTGTCTGCTCTCTGCAACAAGGCGGGGAACATGCAGTAAGCAGGAACAGAGCCTGGCTGTCCCTAGCACAATGGCTGAACATAGGAGGAGCTTATCAAATAGCAGCTTGAGGAGAGCTCGTTCCCATTCCAAAGGCAGGCCAGAGAGTGACCCTCCTCCATCGCCTGCTCCTTTTTAAGCTGGAAGGTGAGCATGGAAAGCAGGTTATGAGTAGGGGTGTGGAGATGACATGGTGGCCGTGTTCCTGGGGCAGCAAGGCTTGCCTGACTCACTTGATGAGGAGTAACAGAGTACAAGCAGGAGAGGAAAGCAAAGGTCCCTCGTGGAGAATGAAAATCAGGAAGAAAAATGTGCATTTTGTATGGTAGGAAACACCATGGAACCAAGAAACTTCCCCTAAGCTACCAGCTGGACCTTCTGCCTGATCCCTTCCAGCTGGCAGGAAGTTCCATCCAGGGGACACACAGACCCACGTTCTGGCTCCGGGAAGCGTCTACCCAATCCTGAGGTCATCCCTCTGAGTTCCAGCTACTCACCACTCCCTGAAGTTGCCCAACTGGGCCTGGGCCAAGGGCCTCACGCATGGGGGAGTCCGAGAGCTCAGAGTCCTCACAACTCTACAGATACATGAATGTGGTAGGGGTTTGCAGCATCCTCACCCCACATCATCCAGGGGAAACCCAAACTGTCTCCAGGTCATGGAAAATGTCCAGACCGAGCCCAGGAGCTAGATACAAGCCCCCGCCAGCAGTCCCACCTAGAACCAACCTCCGCTCACTGCTGAGCAATTTAGAATTGCACTGCCAGGGTTTGTTTTCCTAGTCTATCAGGGCCCAAAACACTGTAACAAGAGTTGTGTTTTCTTTTCCTTTGTTCTGGGAAGGGAAATAATAACAACAGCTACTACTACAGAGCACCTATTCCATATTCAGCACTTAATGCTTCTTCTCTCTAACCCTTACAGCAACTCTGCCAGGTAGGAGTTATTATTTGCATTGAAGCTGGAAAACTGAGGTTGGGTGTACTCTGATACACAGCAGAGCAAGGATCAAACCCCTGTGTGACTAAGGCCAACTCAGGGCTCCCCTTAGCACAGTAAGCTGCTATGCAAACAAACAAAAACTCATGAACCTGCTATAGCCATCAGGGCCTGCGGGCTCCAGCAACTCCTCCTACCTGTACCAGACCTACTAGGGAAAAGACAAAGGAGCTCATTTTGAGGCTGGTATCCTCGAGCCAGCAAAGACACAAGAAAACAAGTTAATTATCCATAGCAGTACCAGGAAGGAGACACAGGTGCAATCCAGGCAGACTGTTTCCTGCTTGGTGTATTACCACTCTTATGTCCAAAGGCCTGCCCAGGCCTCACCCTCTTTGGTCAAGACTCTGCAAGACATCTTCTGTTGGAGGTATTACAAATAGCATTAAAAATACTAAGACAATTGGCATAGGAAAGGGGGATCATGCTAAGGGGACTCATAGTGGTCACCCCATGAGGCAGAGTATGAGCTGGGGCAGGGACCTGTGTGTGGGACTACTGGCACACCATACCCTCCTTGGGCCAGAGGCCCAAGCCAGAATTTGGGTGTCATCCTGGACTCTGCCCTCTGCATCTCATCTAACTAGGTACCTAATCAATCCTCAGATTGACCTCTGCAATAGATCTTGAATCAGACCCATCCTCACATGTCACCCAGATTACTACGTTATCCTCCTAGCTGGGCCCCCAGCCTCCCAGCTGCCCCCAGTCTATCCTCCCAGCCACAGGGATCGTTTTGAAACACATCCTTGCTCCCCTCACCTCGCTGCTTGCCTGGCCCCCGTATCTCTCAGGGTAAAGTGCAACCTCCTTGGCTTAGTGTTCACACCCTGTATCTGTCTCCTGCGTTCCTCCTGGCACCTTTTCCAGCCACTCAGCACATACTCCCTATGCCCGTACTTCCTGAATGCACTGCTCTGTTTTGTGACGCTACAATGCTGGCCTCTCTTCCACAGAAGGCCATTCCCCTCTGCTCCCTCCTGCCACTTGTTCAGAACTCAACTCAATACCACCTCTTCCAGGAAGCCCTCTCTGATACCCTAGTCTGACTTGGGCATCTCTTCCCTCCAGCTCCCCAGTCCCCTGTGCTTCCCTCTTATCAGAACACTGAGAGTTGTTCATCTTTCTCTTCTATTTCCTACACTAAATTCTCTGGAAAAGAGGAACTAAGCCCAGACAGGCCCTCAGTGGATTTTGCATCTGCAGCAATACCCAGGCACCCAGCACAGTGCTTGAAAGATCATAGGGAATTTTGGATAGAAAAATGAATGGGTCTCCTCCCTGGGAAACAGGTCATGGGTTTGATTACAAGTCAGAGGACCTTTATGCTGTAGGTGTCTGTAGAGGCTCACCAGCCTTTGCAATTGAGCTCTCTTACTAAGGGAACCAGTCCTTTTACTTTGACCACATGCTTGCTTTACAAAGTCCTGTGTGGTCACAGTAAATTTTTCTTGGCCCTGAATACCAGTTACCACAAATGATCGGTGGCCCTAGAAGCAGTTTTATGGCCAGAGCCTGGGGCAGGGCAGAGGGGGTCAGCCAGTGGTCCCTGGGCTCCAAAATGTATAAGCTCTGGGCAAGCAATGTGGGTCTGGAGAGCAGGCTAACCTCAACAATGTAAACGCTCCTAGCTCTTCCCAGGACTTACTCTTCGTTACCGAAAAGTTCAGCCTGTGAAATACGTTTGGTTTCAAGCTTCCTGTCACTGGTTTACTTCCTTAAAAATTATGCCCAACCAGCTCCCTGAAAGAGATACGGTGCTGCAGTCTGATTAAGAAGCTTCTTGCACTCAGCCCCTGTGTGCAGAAAACCTGAGATGCAAACTGAAACTGGAGAGAAGTGGACAGGTTCCATGGCATCGTTTCTTTCGCAGGAGCTCAGGGTTTTCAATTGAAAGACAAAGGAGGAGGGCTGAGTGGGCGCTGGGTGCCCCCTGGCAATGATACTGGGAGGGACTGGGCCCCTCCTTCCTAAACTCTGGTTCTTTTCTCTCTCTCCTCTTACTGACCTTGAGATCAAAGTGAGCAATTTTCTTTGTGTGAAGGTAGTTCACCCCATCCAGGATCTGCTTAATGAAGCTGGTGGCTTCCTCCTCACTCAGTGACTCCTTCTGGGCCAGGAAATCGAAGAGCTCTCCTCCAGACACTCTGTAAGACACCAGCGGGAGGGCCCACGCTCAGTCAGCCTTGTGTCAGGAGGCCAGGCTGATTGATGGGTGCAACCCCTGAACCTGACAAACCACCCCGCCTTCCCTGGGGACCCCGTATGGCAGAATCCCCCTCGCTCACGTCATAGGCTGGTCCAACCAGCACCAGGAACTGACTTTGCTTCTATGTGCTGTGTTCTTTCTTTTGGATCTCAAGGGCAGGAATCACCCTGAGGGTGTTGCCAGAAGGGCCACTGTTCACACTCTGGGCCCACCTCCCTGGTTACCCTAGATGTTGCCCTCTCCCCACCATATGACGGAGATGGCGGAGGACAGAAACAAGCACTGTGAGATGATGCTATGGCCTGAATGTCTGTGTTCCCCCCGATTCATATTTTGAAATCCTAAACCCCAAGGTGATGGTATTAGGAGGTGGGGGCTTTGGGAAGTGATTAGGTCATGAAGACAGGGCGCCCTCACAAATGGTATTATTGTCCTTATAAGAGTGACCCCAGAGGGCTCATTTGCCCTTTCCATCACGTTAAGTTACAGTGAGAAGACAGCTATCTATGAGGAAGCGAGCCCTCACCAGACACTGGCTCTACCAGCACCTTGATCTTGGACTTCCCAACCTCCAGTACTATGAGAAATAAATTTCTATTGTTTGTCAGCTACCAAGTTTATAGTATTTTGTTATACAGCAGCCTGAATGGATAAGAGAAGAAATTGATACCAAGAGTGGTGTGCTACTGTAACAAACATCTAAAAACATGGAAGCAGCTTTGGAACTGGCTAACAAGCAGAGGCTGGAAGAGTTTTGAGGAACAGGCAAGAAAAAGCCTACATTGCCATGAATGAACCATTAAGGGTGATTCTGGTGAGGCCTCAGAAGAAGAGGAGGACATTTCTCAGTCTTCTTAGAGAATCCCTAAGTGGGTGTGAAAAGAATATTAGTAGAAATGTGGATGGTAAAGACCATTCTGATGAGGTCTCAGATGGAAATGAGGAATGTGTTATTGGGCAATGGAAGAAAGATCATGCTTGTTATAAAGTAACAGAGAACTTGGCTGAATTGTGTTTGTGTCTTAGTGTTTTGTGGAAGCAATAAATTGTGAGCAATAAAATTGGATATTTGGCTGAGGAAATTCCTAAGCAAAGCACTGAAGGAATGACCTGGTTTCTCTTGATTGCTTATTGTAAAATGCAGAAAGAGACAATGATTTAAGGATGGAATTGTTAGTCAAAAGGGAATAAAAACTTAAAAGTTTGAAAAAATTTGAGCCTATTCGTATCAGAACAAATGAGAGAATCTGTTTGGGAGAGAACAAAGGTATGACCAAGCACTGTTTGGTAAGGAGATTGGTACGATCGGCCATCTCAAGGGAAGCCAGGTGCTATTCATCAAGACAATAGGGAAATTAGTCAGCCACCTAAACAAAAACCAGGACCTATTGTTCCAGACTGTTAGAATGACCCTGAAGTCATTTCAGAGATCCTGGAAGGTAACAGGGGAGGCCTCTCTTATCGCAGATCCACGGGCCAGGGCCTTGGGGGCAGAATGATATCAAAGGAGGGGCCTCCACTGCCCAGTGCTGCCTTACATTGTAGGCTCTGCTCCCCAAACTCTGTTGCCACACTCCTTAGCAATACCAGGTGCGGCTCCCCAAGGGCAAGGATGTAGCATGCTCTGTGCCAAGCAAAGCTGGTGGGTGTGTGTCTGCCTCCACCTGGATTTCAATCTCTAGGGCAATGGCCAGCAGAGCCATGGGGGTGGGGTTGCCCCGAGACTCCATACCAGTAAAGGAGTGCAACTTCAGCCTGGGAGAGTTATAGGCAGGCAACTCCAACCCAGTGGGTCTGGAGGGAGGAGCATTGAGCAAAAGATTATTCTGAGATATAAGGTTTTGAACTAGCTTGGGACCTGTCACTCCTTTCTTCTTTCCTGCTTCTCCCTTTTGGAATGGGAATGTCTATCCTATGCCTGTTCCACCATTGTAATTTGGAAGCATGTAACCCATTCAATATCACATGTTCACAACTAGAGAGCAATTTGCCTCAGAACCAATCATACTTTGAGTCTCACCCATATCTGATTTAGATATTTAGATGAGACTTTGGACTTTAAACTTTGGAGTTGATGCTAGAATGAGTTAAGGTTTTGGGAGCTATTGGGATGGAATGAATGTATTTTACATTTGAGAAAGACATGAATTGGGGGGCCTAGGGACAGAATGCTATAACCTGAATGGACTAAGACAGATGATAAAGAGGAACAAATGCTAGGCCAGAAACTGGAGACCCATATTCCATTCCAGCCCTGCCACTGACCTTGGACAACTTGGTTACCTTCTCCAGGCAGGCCTTGGTTTCCTCACCTGCAAAATGAGCACCCTGGACAAGATGGCTCTAAAGCACCGTTTCTTTAATTTTATAAAAGATGCCTGTTCATAGGCTCAGGAGAATCTAGTCATGATCCTAATTTAAACATAAGACCCCACTAATTATATTAATCTCTAAAAACTCTAGAATACTACATTTTTCACACTCCACACTCTTGCACTTTATGGTTGATGTGGATAAGAATGGAGACCCACAAGGCAAAAACAATCTCCCCTGGGATTTAGAGTTGCTAGATAAAATAGTTTTTACTTGCTAAATCTGGCAACCCTACTGGGCTTGTTTATCCTCTGACAGATGCTGGGGTATCCATGCAGCATGTGCTTCTCTGGGGCAGGGACAGAGCCAAAGGTCACCACAGAAAAAAAAATCTCAGGAAGAGATCTGGGCCAAGGAATCCAGGATCTTGGGATCATTTAGAGAACCTATTTAAAATGCACGTTCCCAGATCCCACCATAGATCTTAACAAATTAGATTCTCTAGTAGAAAGGCCTTACAACCTGTATTTTTTGCAATAATAACAACATAATAATAGTAATTACTATTCCCTGAACACTTACTCTATGTTACGTGCTTTAAGCACACTCATTTAATCATCATAATATCCTCTAAGCTAAGGATTATTATTTTCCTGTTTCACAGTTAAAGAGACAGAAGCTCCAGAAGGTTAAGTGACTTGCCCACAGTCACACAGCTAGTAAGTAGCACAGTCAGGATTGAAACCCAAGCAGAATGACTCTCAACTACTATATCACACTGCGTATCCTCAGATGATTCTTATATGGCCAGAATGGCTCTATCCCAGCTTTGGGAATCACTCCCTGCCACCTAGCCCATCCTAAATAAACAGCATCAATATTCTTTCCTCCTTTCTGTCAAAATGCCTAGAAACACACCTAGACCCACTTGATAATCTTAGCATCTTGAAAAGTAGAACTGGATATGATGTGGTGCAGTAGCAAGTACACAGCAACACTTCTGACATACTGTGACCCAAAAAATTGAACCTAAATCTGCTTAAGCCTCTTGTTTAGCACTATCGACAGAACTTTCTGCAGTGATGAAAACGTTCTATATATATGCTGTCCAATACAGTAGCCACCAGTCACATGTGATTACCGATCACTTGAAATATGACTAGCGCAACTGAGGAACTGAATTTTAAATTTTATTTAATTTTAATTAATTCTAATTTAAAAACTGAAGTGGTGTAAAATATTTCCCATGAAACACAACTTTATTGTTTTGATAGGATTGCACTTCAATTTAACCATTGCATTGCATATGAGTTGAAAAGTATAAAATTCACACTGGATTTTGAAGACTTAGTATGAAAAAAAGAATGTAAAATATCTCATTAATAATTTCTATATTGACATGTTAAAATGATATATATGTTGGGTTAGATAAAATATCATTAAAATTAATTCACCTATTTCTACTTATTCAATATGGCTACTAGAAAATTTAAAATTATGTATGTGGTTCATATGTACATTTCTATTGGAAAGCACCAATAAGAAGGGTATCTCCTCTAGATCTAACGATAAGTTTACAAGAAATACAGGGGATAGAGGAACAAGTTAAATAATACCATGAGGAAGGAATTAAGTCTAATACAAACTGTAAGATCATCAATGGGACAAATAACCTAGTTTTTCCAACACATCGATGCCATCAAAAAAGAGAGAGAGAGGAAGGTGAAAGGGTGAAGAGAGTGAAATAAGATGGCACATTTGAGCATACCGTCTGCTACAGCTACAGTGCCCCTCCGCTTAGTGAGCTGGCTGTGGCCTCAGGTGGCTGCCTGGGTGTTGGGGATGAGGCTGGTGTATCAGTTTCTCAGTATCTCATGAGTGAGGTCATCCTGTACTTCACTCCCACCTGGGACAGGTGCTGGAACCTGGAGCATCTCCCAGGTGCTGAAGGAGTAACCTTGAGTCTACTCTGCAGGCTGGGGTCAAAGGGCCAGGACAGTCACCCCAATCCTTCCACAACAAAGACTCAACTTTGGGGTGGGGCATGTGAGAGTACTAAGGCTCAGCTTTTCTTCTTGTGAAACAGTAGTGGGGGAAAAAATATGGTCTCATGGCCACCTTCAGAGGTAGAAGTGGGAGTGGGAGGAATGTTGATGCAATGTTGGATAAGTGCTGTGAGATCCTTGATAAAGCCCGTGACATAAATACCACACACCACATCATTGTCGGGGGGCGGGGCAGCAGTGGAAGTGGGCTTGATTTAGAGTTTATCTGAATTCTACCACCAGTGCCATGTGTTTTCTCAAACATTCTCTCACCTGAGCCTCACATCCACCCTGAGGAGTAAATGGAACCTCTGTCCCCATTTGTCAGATGAGGAAACTGAGGCCTCAAGAAAACAAGTGGCTTGCCCAGGGTCATACAGCTAGTAAGTGACAGAACCAGGATTTAGACCCAGATGGCTCATCCCCAGTCTATCACGTGTCCCTCTCACCACGATCCCTCCATGTTACAAAGCCTGAGTTGCTGATGCAAAAAGAAAAGCCTCGAAGCCACCCCGGGCACTGGGCAGCACTTTGATACCCCTGCTCAGCTGCATCCAAGCCCTTACCACATTGGGCTTCACTATTGGTCTCTCTCTACCCAGCTAGATTATGTTTGATTCCACAGCACCTGGTGTGAGAAAGATATTCAATAGAAATATGGTGAATAAAAAAAGAAAAGAAGGAAATAAAACATTAAAAATACCAACATGGCCGGGCATGGTGGCTCATGCCTGTAATCCTAGCACTCTGCGAGGTTGAGACAGGAGGGTTGTTTGAGGCCAGGAGTCTGAGACCAGCCTGAGCAAGAGTAAGACCCCTTCTCTACAGAAAATAGAAAAATTAGCCGGGCATGGTGGGGCGCACCTGTAGTCCCAGCTACTTGGGAGGCTGAGGCAGGAGGATCACTTGAGCCCAGGAGTTTGAGGTTGCAGTGAGCTATGATGATGCCACTGCACTCTAGCCTGGGTAACAGAGCTGGTGAGGCATGGTCTCCTTGGGATGAAGAAGGGAACAGCCCCTATGGCCCTCAGACTCTCCCCTAGGGACACAGAAAGGTGGGAGGCTGATGACCTGCCTGGGGTAACTGTCCAAGTCCTGGACACCAGGCTGGGGACATTCACATCAATGCTCAGTCACCATCTCTTTTCATAGCCCAGTCAAGGAGCCTGTCTTTTATTTCTTTTTCCCCCTAACAGGTCCTAGCAAGGGCTTCTCAGCTGTAAGACCTCCGCCCTGGAGTCATTCCCCATCTCCTTCCAAGTTCTTTCCTCTCACATCCTAAGTCTCTTTAGCTTTAAGATAAAAAGCAAAACCTCAGAGCCTGGCCTCCTCTCTTCTCTCATATTCCCAGGATTGCCTCCTTCCTGCTAATCTGACCTTTGCCTCCTTCCTCCCTGCAGGTTGGTCTGCCTGCTGGAAATGCTTTTCAGACTCTTCCGGGAATGTGTGCGCAAATGAACTGCGTAGGTGGCAATGGGGGAAGGATGCTGCCAGAGCTGCTGGGCCCCAGGAAGCTGGACTCAATCCGGGGGACTGGGAAGCATCGCCACCACCCTGAAGCACCCCGCCAGGCCTTTCTCTGGTATGCAACCACCAGGGTATCGCTTTCCACAGGCTTGGAGTCAAGGAGGCCCCAGAGCAGTCAGGGGCCAGTGACAGGAAGCCTGCCCAACCCTCGCAGGGGAGAAGTACATTTTTCAAGGCAAGCTCCATATGTATCATGAGTTAATCTACTGAGATTTTGAATGTATTCTTTATACCATACAGAAGTCAATTTATTTGGACAACTAAATCCTTCCCAACCCTGCCTTCAATAGCCATGACCACAGGCAGCTGCTTCTAAGGAGGTCACAGATGGGATAATAACAGCTGAAGGGAACTTAAACCAGAGCTGGGCATGTCCTGCTGGTGCTGGGCACTTCAGCAGAAAGCAGGAGGAAGCCCTGCAACAGTTGCTGAGAGGGGCACTGGGATCAGGGTAGACTTATCCATAAAACCTGCAACTGAGCACGTTTCAACTAAGGAGATGGACACTAACACCATGTTCAACTACTGGGCAAACCCACTTTCCTACTAAGGCACAGTGAGGATCAGGAGGCCAAAGACTCCTGATCAGCCCAACAGGAGTCACCAAGTCCAAGCACAAAGTCCATAAACTCCTCTCCTGGGAGATCCTCCCTCTCAGACCCTGCCACACACAGTTAGGCACAGTCTTAGCAAGCTTGGGTCTTTTCTAATCTCACAAATCCTTAGCACTCCACAGATGGGCACCCTGAGAGCAATGAGACAGCTTGGAAGAGAAGGTGGAGACAGAAACTGTGAACAGACAAAACTCAACAAGCACAGCAGCCCAAGCGAGTCACGGGAGCACTGGCGTGACAGCTGCTGTTATGCACGGTGCACCTGAGCTCACTAGAAGGCGGCACACAACCATTGGCTGACTGTGAGCCTCCTGGGAGAAACAGGGACATCTCAAGGGCATCCCCCACCCCCACTCCTGGGTTTCTACAAACAGGGAGAAGCAGGTAATTTCCCCAGCAATTAAAGAAGTGCCAATTAAAACAACAAGAAAGTATCAATTTATAACTATAAAGATCAATAAATAATGAAAAATGTTTTATAACCAATGACCCAGGAGTGGCAAGGCTGCAGGCAAACAGGAACAGTCCTGCGCTGCAATGGCACTGGTTACCCAACACCCTTCCTCAGAAGTGAGTACATCAAAGCCCCAACAATGCAGCCTTTGACCTAATCGCCCCACTCTTGTAGACTTTAGCTCAATCCTAGGGATTTAGCTGAAAGAATTAATTCAAAATAAAAAGGGGAAATCAAAGGAGGAAAGTTGTTTTATCAATACAATGTGTAAAGGTCAAAAGCTGGGAAATAAAAACCAAATGTCCAACAATAGGGAAACACGGGTATGTAGTTCAATGAAACAGGATACAGTCAGTTAAAAGAGAAAAGGCAATTTATGGAATTATGTTAACCGGGAAAAAAAAGTAGAGCAGGAATTATACAAGTACAATGATTGTACACAAATAAAGATTGAGGGGAACCACAGAAAAACATAAATAGCAGCGTTTGGGTTGTAGGATCATGAATGTAATATCTTTTTAGTTACTGAAAGTTTTTTTTATAATAAACTTTTAATAAAGTGGCCTTGCCTTCCCAGCAAAGTATGCTTGTCACTCTCTGTTGGGAATCAGGATGCCAACTGCTAAGCCTTCGTCTTGGGGCATGCCACACCTCGGGCTGTCCACACCTGGGGGACCCTATCTGGCTTCTTTTTTTTTTCTCTTGAGACAGAGTTTCAGTCTGTCACCCTGGGTAGAGTACAATGGCATCATCGCAGCTCACTGCAACCTCAAACTCCTGGGCTCAAGCGATCCTCCTGCCTCAGCCTCCTGAGTAGCTGGGACTACAGGAGTGCACCACCATGCCCAGCTAATTTTTTCTATTTTTGGTAGAGACGGGGTCTCATTCTTTCTCAGGCTGGTCTTGAACTCCTGACCTCAAGCAATCTTCCTGCCTCAGCCTCTCAAAGTGGTAGGATTACAGGTGTGAGCCACTGCACCCAGCCCCCATCCGGCTTCTGTCTAGATCAGGCAGGTGCATCCATCAACTAGTCCAGCTGGCCAGGAGGTCCACGGGAGAAACATGGAGCATACTGGCAGCTAGAGAAGGGGAGAGCATGAGCAATTCTATACATTTAAACATTGAAATGGATAATTTAAGAATCAAATGCAAGAGTATGCAACTGCCCATCTGCTACTTAAATCTATATCCTGCCAACAACAGAGTTGTTCTCAAATTAGAATAATCTCAAATGTCAGGTGGTCCACCCAATCTGTAGGCAGGTTAAGGATGGCTGCCTGGTTTACAGATGAGATCTGAAGCTCAGAGGGCTAAGGTGACTTGCCCAAAGGCACAAAATCAGGAAATGCTGAGACAGACACCACCATTCCCCTGCTAACTGGCAGATGCATACATGCTTGTGAGGCTCAGAACATTCTTAACATGGGGCGTTGCTCTGGACTGGACACAGTCCAATGGACACAGCCACTATGACTTGTGCCACAAACCAACTCAAACTCTATTATCTGCCAGAGCCCTACCTCCCTGTTCCGTGGAGATGCCTCCAGTACACCAGGGTCGCCAGCCAACCCTCAGAATCTTGGTGTTACCTATCCAAATCCCACTAAGCATTGAGAAGTCCTCCCCAGCTAGGCCAGCATAAGGCCATCCCGCCTCATGCTCACAGGTGTCTGCGCCAGCCATGTGGACTCAAGTCCTGGCCCCACCACTTCCTGGCTATAGGGTTTTGTAAGGGATCTGGCTTAGTGCTCCTGTCTGTAAAACAGGGATGATAAGAGCCTCTGTGTGACAGCATTGTTATAAGGATTAGGTAAGGTATTAGCATTTGGCACAGTGAATACAAAATATCCTCTCCATGTTAGTAAGACATTTCCCTCATCATAGTCACTGTAAGCATTGAACAAGATGACAAATATAAAGGACTTAGCAAATGCTTGGCTGATGGTAGGGCTCCCTAAATAAGAGCTATAATAATAAAGGCGTCAAACACAGCACAAAAGCAGTGGATTTTCCCCAGGAAAGGGCTGGAGAAGAGCTTCGCAGAGCCCGGAGGACATCTGTTCTTCCCCTCCTCATGGATCAGTTCCCTCCCTGACAGCCTCCCCTGCTCCCCACCCCACCCCTGCCCTTCTCACCCTCCCACATGCTCCTCCAGCCAGGAAATGACCCCAGTGCAGTCATTTCTTCCCTTTAATCCCCAGGGCCCAACAAAAGCCAGACTCAGACCATCGCCCTCTGCCCCTGCTACTCAGCAAGCTCAGCCCTCCTTTGGCCCAGTTTCAGAAGGAGGCTGGGGGTAACTGAGGCAGAGGGAAATTGACTTTACCTGACTGCATCTCCTCCGGCTGAGCTTAGCCCAGGTTGCCGCTGCCCCCTGGGGCCTGTAGCCGGAGCTTCCACCACCCTGCCTGCCCCTGCTGCCCCTCCACGGTCGCAGCACTCCACTCACAGCTCAAGGATGAGCACCACGTCGGTGCGGTTCTCGTAGACGTCGTGCAGCGTGATGACGTTGGGGTGCAGCACCTGCCGCAGGATGCTCACCTCCCGCTCGATCTCCTCCCGGCTCACGCCACGCCGGCTCGCCCGGCTCTGCCGCTTCTTGATGAACTTGGCTGCATACTCCAGGCCCGTGCTCTTCTCCCTGCACTTCTTGACGATGGCAAACTGGCCGCTGCGGGGACACAGACCCACCTGATTAGGATGTCATTGTGGCATCAGGGAAGCGACCCCACTGTCAGCTACCAGGCCACACTAACTCAGAGTCATTCTGCCAGGACAGGAAGGATCGTCCACCGGACAGCATCCCCACCTGGCTGACAACCCGTGACTGAGGTGGGGCAGGTAGCGGGCTTCCCTTCTGTTCACATGAATCCTGAATCTTTTACTAGGAATGAGTGTTAGCAGTGTTATTCCCAGTGTACAGAGGGGAACACTGAGGCCCTGACAGGTCATCGATCAGGATGACACAGCCTTGCCATTGCAGAGCCTCAGTTAGAGCCCAAGTTGAGTATCCACCAGATGAAATCGCAGTGTCCATAAGCAGATCGGGTTGGTGGGGATCCTGGTTTGGGTGGGGGTCGGAATGGAGGCAGCCTAACAAAGTAAGCTATCAGAGTGGGAGACCATCACAGTGAGAGGGCTAGCATGACCATAGAGTTGTAAAATTAGGAAACTGAGGCACAAAGAGAAGTCGAGTCACTTGCCTGAGGTAATCACAGAGTTAATGCAAAGCCAAGCCTCAAAGCCAGACAACCCACTGTCCACACAGCCTCTGAGACAGTTTAAGGAGTCCAGACCACGCATAGTCCCCTTCAGGTGCTAGCACCTAGGGCTGGGCCCGGAAATCCTTCACTCCAAGGACCGAGACAGCAACCACGACGTAGCGTCCATGCCAGAGCGGCAGGCAGCTCTGAGCTGGCTCCCCTGAGTGCTCGAAGGGCAGCCCACCCCACGGGGAAGGGCAGCAGCCTTCTGCTTCTCCATCTCACTTCTGGAAATCAGCAGGAGCAGATCAAAGTCCCTGGAGCCTTCCCAGTGGCCGTCCCTCCTGCGCATCCTCCCGGTCCCTTCCTGCCATTGCCCACCGTTGCCTCATGTTTTCTTGCCACCCAAAATGCCCACTGCTCAGGGTAATTCAGAAAGTTTTAGGGCTCAGCTTAATGGCTTAATAAGGGTCCACCAGACTCCAGACTTAGAATACACTCCCTCAGCGGCTCTGGGGTAGAAGTCACACACAATGAAACGCTCTGGATATTTGCCCCAGCCTCAGAAAATAGCATTGCGTCTGGACCACTCCATTATTAGAATAATCCTCAGTGAGACAGTCTTCAAAATAACCTGAGTGGCAATAACAACAACAAAGTCAAGTTGAGCAAGCACGGAATAGATACGCCAACACTTTAATCCATTCTATGGCGACCACTTTAGAGATGTCACCAGACACAAATTCAAGTCTCTCTCCATCCCCTCATCCTCCACTCACTCAACACTGTCTGAGCATCTGCTCTGTGCCAGGCTCTGTGCTGGGCAGTGAGGGACAGGGACCAAAGGCACAGACAACGGGCACACATGGAGAAGTCCTGGGGGCTGGGCTGGGCAGGGAAGGCTTTGCAGAGCCAAATTTATATTATGTTATCCACTAACTCTAAAGTTTCAGCTATTTAGGCCCCAAATATTGGCTCTGAGCTGTCCACACATTAGGGACTGACGCAGGTGGAGTGAAGCCAGGCCTCTCAAAGCCAGAGTGAACACATTCAGTGCAATCTCTAACACAGATGGCCACTTGGAGCCACTTCGGGCCTCGGGGACATTAGGTCCCTTAGTGGGTGCCAGCAAACACTTGACAAAGCTTCCAGTCCCAGGCGGCTGTGAGTCTCAGTGTCAGGGCAGCCATGCCCCTCTCCTCTCCCTCTGACAGACACCTCAAGGGGCTGCTGGCAGGGCCTGGCATCTCAGAGTATCCGTGACCTTTACACAGCAGCCCTGAGTTCCAATAGGGAAAGCAACGCTCAAGGATTTTAAGCGATGCGTTTAAGTTTACAGAGTACACAGGTGGTGGTGCAGGTTTGGCTTGGCATCCAAATCCCCCAGCTCCCAGCCCCACGCCGTGTTGACTTGTGAAGAGGCAAGAGGGTTTTTTTTGTAAAGTAGATCTAAACATTTCAGGTCACCTTGACATAGCTTCCCCTTTATCTTATGAGGGAAATGAGGCAATTTTTTTCCATATCACATGCCTGAAAAATTTCTCAGACTCTCAAAAGGCAAATGAGTGTTTGCTTTTCCTGCCTGAGTTTTCTCTTTGTGAGAGCGCTGTGGCAATGGGAGGTGACAGGGGCAGGACTAATGTGCAGGCAGCTTCCCCCTCCAAAGGGAAGTATTTTGGGAGCCGGTGACTAAGACGGAGCCGAATACCAGGCAACACCACTCATCTCGCCTCTCTTCACGCGGGAAGGGCCCTTCGCTCAGGAGGTCCTGTGTGGGACCTCGGGGAGAGCCAAGGCCCTGGCTGGTCTCCCCTCTCCTTGGGCCATTTCCAGAAGAGTGAAGAACACACTCCGCTAGGCCCAGGCCCCAGGCTTCAAGGTCAGACAGGCCTGGCCTCGGGGACTTGCACTGTCACCTGGGGCAAGTCACTACCTGCTCTGAGCCTCGATTTCCTCATCTGTAAAACAGGAATCAGGATTCCCTGCTAGCGAACTGCGAAGACTGGGAATATTTGCAGCATTGGCCCATGGTCAGCACCAATAAATGGATCATGTGAAGGCTGAGCAAGAAGCACCCAGAGACACGAGTCACTGATTCAAATGGTCTGGAACCTGCAACCAGGAAATCGGTTTAATTTTAAAAGACTCCAATGATTCCAGTGCACAGCCAGAGGTGAGAATGTCTCTGTTCCAAGCAATTAGCCTTCTCTTTTAATCCTAAAGCAGTGGTTCTCAACCCTGGCTATACACGAATCTCTTAGTTCCATTTTATAGATAAAAAACCCTGAGGCTTAGAGAAGTTAAGCGTCCTGGTAGTTGGGCCAGGTAACAGGGCTGGGACACAGACCCATGTCTACTGACTCCAGCATCGGTGAGACTGTCGAGGTAACGAACCAGCACTGGAGTGCCGGAGGAGTGAGGAGAGGGGCCTGCCCCAGAAGGGAGGGGTATTTTATCACTGACATTGTTTAGAATTACTGGCACATGGTGATAATAAAAAGAAGACTGATTTTTATTCAATTTTATCATTGGATTTTAAATTCTCAAAAGACAAGGCACCCTCACGGTCTGCAACAAGGTGGACCACTGCCTGCCCACCCACCCTCTGTGGGAAGCCATGGCCAACCAGGCTTGTTCTGCCAACTACCTGGGGCCAGCTGCTAAAGGTTTTGTAGGGTCTATGAATAGAGGGGGTCTAACTCATTCCCTTTCTCAGAGGACTCTAAAGTGTCCATGAAGAGTGTGATTTGCCCCAAAGTCACCAGTTTATCAAGGTGGAGATAAGGCAGAGCTGCACAGAATGCAGAAACCCGACCCAGGGACAAGATGCTGTGTGAGGTGAGTGGTATCAAATGGGAAGGGTTCCAAGGCAGAGGGACATGGAGACGGGGTTCCTCCTCCTGCTTCCCCACAAAGGTCACTGCAGTTCCTCTTCCCACCCTGGAGAACAATGAGTTGAGATACCTCTGGAATTACCCTGCAAGTTTTCAGGGCCACAGTGTAGGGATAATGCTTAGAAACTTCCAGTCAAGACCAGCCCAGGTGCAGCCCAACAGGTAGGGGAATGGGACCTTCAGCCCATGTGTCTCAAAGGCCAGAGCAGCTCCAATATAGTCCATAGAAATCAGATCAGCCTGATCCCAGAGGGCCCACACTCAGATCCCACAGCAACAGCCTGTTTGGAGATGGTGTCACTGAGCCATCTCCCCACTCCTCTGCCTGGCTGCCGAGCCTCTGTGGCTGACTCCACCCCTATCTCCCACCTCGTCCCAATAATCCATCCTCTGGCCAGGCCACTCGCAATTCCCACCAACAAGATCCTTTCCCTCATCGCTTTAGCAACCAACCTGTTTTTGATCTCTTATACCCAAGTTCAGAATTTAGAGTCAAAAGATCCAGGTTCTATTTCCAGCTCTGCTGCCTTTAGCAAATTGCATCACTCTGAGCCTCAGTTTCCTTGTGTGTAACACAGACGTAAGAGTATCCCAATCTCATCAGACTGTAATGAGAACGAAATGAGGCAAGGATGTGAATGCACCATGTAAACCATGCTTTTTCCATGAATGTCAACTGTTTCTTTCTGTCCATTGGATCACCACATCGAACGGATGCTGGCCTCCATTTTCCCATCCCAGCATATTCTTGAACCTGATTCCGCTGCAATGAAGCCCATCTTCAGATCCCAGCTTAGAAATAGACAGTGCTGGGGAGGACTGTGGCAGTCCCCAAGTGGTGTCAGGATCGAGGAAGGCAGAAAACACTTGGGGACACAGTTAATTGAGGTGAGGGCAAGTGAAGGACCAGATATCCAGGAAACCAACATAGAGTGAAGAAACATAACAGAGCAGGGAGCAGGTCAGGATAACAGGCCAGAGAGATGAGGATAAGGAGCAAAAATTTACCAAAAACCCATGGGTAGTGTGTCAGGAACTAGACAGGCAAGACAAGGGGAAGCATGCAGAAGTAGTGGCAAAGTCAGCACGCAGCAGCTGGACACTCTAGAGCAGCAGAAACATCAGCCGAGAACCTGCAAACAGAAGAGGGTGCAGGGCCACTCAAACGGACTTTCCTCCCAGTGAATGGGCCAAGCTTGCTGTTTCATGAACCCGTTTCTCCTCCCTGACCACGTTGCCACCGTCTTTCTTGACAATCACTTTTAAATTTCTTTTAGGTATGGAATCCTCTCTCAAATCTTTCACAAAAGTCTAATATGTAAAACAGTTAAAAAGCTGTGCTTCTTTTAGGGAGAGGCACTCAGAGTCTATCCACTCGCCATCCCACCCATGAGGCCTAAAGGGGCTTCATGAAACCCCAAAAGCTCCAGGGAACATAGTTTGAGAAATACTGCTCTGTAGCACATAAGTTCTCAGGTGATCCCAGAGAAGTTTCAAATTGTAAATGAAAATAAAGGCGAAACAGAACACACTGGTGCTTCTCAGAATTATTATCTAGTCTTTTAAGAAGTCAC